TAAATGAATACATCTTTTAGCATTTTTCGAAATTCATCCTATAAGGGGGTAAAATAGGGGATGAAAGTTTGTAAGGAACTTCAGCTATTTTAGAGTTTTTTTGTAGTTTTAGCGCGAGCGAAGCCGCGGCTTATGCTAGTATTATATAAATAACATATTTTATAAAGTTGTTGTAGTATATAAATTTAAAAAAAAAGTTAATTATTCTATTCAGTTCCGTTCAGTGCTTATGTCGGGCACTTGTAAAATATACTTATGAAAAGCTTAGACTTTTATTTTTATACCAAACAAAATTAATAGTTATGTAATTATTGTATAATGCCAGTTTTAATTTTAACAAAAAGTAGTTTTAGTTCAGTACTATTTGAAAAGGAAGCGCGTTCCGCGTTCAAGGCTACAATATTGATACATGACCTTCATGGTGCCTGCCTTTGGCTATTATCAATTTATGATGATGGAATTTAAGTAGGTACTTTAATAGTTTAGTATGTAATGTTTAATTTAGTAATCTGATAGATCGTACGATTATTGTTAATAATGTATTGTTATTGTAATGAAATATGGTTTTTAAAGTTAAAAATGGTTGAAAATATTTTGAAAAAAATGAAGGTGATATGCGTAAATGCATTTTCCAACGTTAAAAAAATGGTGAGAATATTTCGGAATTAATGAAATCTAAAGCAAGCCAAGTATAGAGTTAAATGTATTTTAAGAATGTCAGTTATTAAGATGTCTCCCGATGGTTTTACGTAGAATAGTCTATATATTATTAAATAAGAATAATACAAAAAAAAACCGACTGCGTTAAAACGAAAAGCGGCTAGAGAGACGGAAACAAGTTGATATAGGTATACTTATTATATATATATATATATATATATATATATATATATGTCGTGTTATCCATATACTACGAACATCATCTTTGGTGGTTACTCATCTTGTGGGCGTTATCAGGGCTTAAATAATAAAGTATTCAGTGCTCAATACACAATTTAATCAGGGAAGTCACAATGTTATAAACTTGAAACGGTAATTCTAATGATTTAGAGCTAGCGGGTTTACAGTCACCGATCATCGACTTCCAACTACAATATCAAACATAACTCTCTATGATCAACCGACTTTACTACACCACGTATCTGCAAAGAATGTCGTGATGGCGTCTCGACCCCGCTCGAGACTAAATCTCTGCTCTAAATTCAAAAGCACTAAAAAGTAAATTAAAGAACATAGTGACTTTAAACAATAATAAGGTTTCATAACAGAAAAAGGTAACTAAATCCTCCTCCGTCTTATATATATATATATATATATATATATATATATATATATATATATATATATATATATATATATATATATGTATAGTATTATGCAAATGGAGACATATGTTTTATCCTCGCTGCGAGTCTTGCTAAATGTACATACACAAATACGTACTTATATATTATATAGGGATCAAACACCTCCTTTTCTGATTCGTCATAATAGAGTTAAAACAATGTAAAACCGTTGCTAAAAAAGATAAAAATAAAAACTACACCAAAATAAATATTTTCTTTACAAAATGGAAATGGCTGACATTGATATATTTTTTATTTTAGTACACTTTAAGTTTGATTATTTTATTGAACATATGAGCCAATAAAGTACAAAATTTTCTCTAATTAACTTCTTTAAGTAATCAGGAAACTCTTAGAGCATGTAAGTCCCACGCTGTCGCAATACACGAGAAGGTACAATCAGTCCACATCTAGATGATATCACGTTTGATCCGGGTCGCCTTGATTACACCCATTGTTTGCATGTTAATTTCGATTGTTGATTTCGTACTAAATAATTGTCTATGAAATGTTTCTATTTACTGAAAGTCGCTTGTGAAAAGCTGTTGCTTTCTAAGAATAAGAAAAACTTAATGATTTACAGAATTTATTTAAAAGTTCTAATGGCTTTGGCTATAAAAATTATATATAACTTTGGCTATAAATATTATCTTATATATAAAATTTCCATGTCACAAAGTTTGTTACCGTACTCGTCTTCTTTACCGATTTTCACCAAATTTTATATGCGTATTCAGTAGGTCTGAGAATCGGCTACTATCTATTTTCCATACCCCTAAGTGATAAGGATAAGGGTGGTCCTCCCAGACCTTACCCCAGGGACGAACCCGAGCGGAGCGAGGGTGAGTCGCTAGTATATATATATATATATATATATATATATATATATATATATTTTACGTTTCTAATAATTCGAAAATTAAACACCGCCACAAATAAATATGTCCATCCAGCTTAACAAATTGTAATTTGTAAGAGTATAATATTTTTCACGTTAGACTAATATTTTAGTGTCCGTAGTATAGCTATTGTTATACAAATAGCAGTAGCAGAATATGCAAAGCAGGCAGTGACTAATAACGAAACAATCGTCCACCATATAAAGTGAATTAGACACACGACTTTGTCACATTATCCCAATAAGGCACTTTTGAAAGTAATTACAAACTCATTTTTCTGATATTCTTCTATACATTTAAGAAAGAAAAATGAGTAAATGTGAGTGTTATTAGTCTATTTTTTGTTCATATTAATTTTGCAAAAATTTTATTTTTTCTAATTTCAAAAATAACTTACGTTATGTTAGCCGTAACAGATTTGATTTCTTTTTTATGTTTAGTTTTATGAATAATAAATATATTTATATATGATACACCTTATCTACAGTGCGCAGTGAGCATAACATTTCTTCGAACAAAACAATTCCTAGTTTTAAATATGCGAAGGTGTTTAACATAAGTTTTCCATCACCGGTACATTTGCAGCGATGTCGTGGGAAAAATATATCAGTATTGTGTCGGCTTTGACCCGCTATTATCTGTTCACTTCTTTGTACTAGCAATTATGAAGTTCAGTTAATAGGTTTCATGGAACTTTTGTTTTATGCAAAAAAATGTATGAGCTTTCATTAAATTACAATACGTATTTGTTACAGTATATAAGCTTCTATTTTAGCATCAGTTCGGTTCCCATTTAATTCGACTTTGGCTATGCTCACAAATTATAAACAATAAAGTCATTTCTTATCTCCGATAATGTCCAAGGTATCCTGATCTAAATATTGTTTGTTTTGTATTTGAAAAACTATGTTTTGATGTTAATAGTAATCGAGGTTTAAATATTATATAATAGTATTATATAATAGCGCAGCGAGTCCTCGACAAAGCTATTCAATTTCATGGTGGGAACCAGGCAGCAGTTCCTCTTGAATGAATACTATGATGTCTATCGACAAGTGTCATATCACCGTTATAATTACATGTTCTTACGTAGCACCCGCATCCGATTGCTATCGAGACTGTGTGAACGTAGTTTGCATACGGGGAAAAAATGATTTGTCACGCATAAAATTCATTACTTTGTTTACTTACAATGTTCCATAGTTTCATGTATAATGTATTATCTATACATATAATAAAATTGTGACTAAGCCGAATTTGTACATAAAATACTTTTAAAAAAACCTTATTGAAATAAACATTATTATCGATACGGAGGCCGAATCTATAGTTTTTAGAGTTTTTGTCTCTCTCTCTGTCTGTCTGTTACCGCATCACAGAAAAACCACTGGAGGGATTTTGATAAAATTTGGTATGGTGATAGCTGGTTATCCGAGTCAAGACATAGGATACTTTTTACCGCGGGAAAATGTCTCATTTCTAAGAAAAAATACACAACTGCAATGTAAGAATATATTAATATGTAAAACCTAAAAATTTGGTTTTAAGTCATCTGAACGCGGGCAAAGCCGCGGGCAATGCTAGTTGAATTTATAGATCTAAATAGGATTTGTTGCGGTAAATTGCAAAGTGTATTTAAACTAGATATAGGTAACTTACTCGTATATAAGACTAATTGTCTTGTAATAAAAAATTGTAAAACTATGTATTTGTATTAAAAACGTAGGCACATGTTGTAATAATTATTAAAAACAATTTTAATTTCGCACCCTAAGACAAAAAGGGATTCGGCTTCCAAGCCCTTGGATATAATTATATTTCCAGGCCTAAAGAGCATTGAAATACCAACGCAATTAAGAACTCTTCAAACAATTTACTCCTTATTGCACTTGTTCATTTCGCCCGCTGACCGTCTGCGAGTTCACTTTGATGTCACAGATAAAAAAAGTCTAGGATGTCCATTAAAATGATTTTTAATGTTTAAATACGATTTTCTCGAAAACATTTACATATGAAAGTGTAACATTTATCTATATAGATAAATAAAATTGAAGTGTCTGTTTGTAATGTCAAAATAATAGCGTTTTACTAAATGCATATGAAATTATATACGGTACTTATAAGAAAAATATATTTTTTTAAATTTTTGTCTGTCTGTCTGTCTGTTTGTTCCGGTTAATCTCTGAAATGACTGGACTGGTTTTGACGGGATTTTCACTGAAAGATAGCTGATGTTATATGGAGTAACTTAGGCTACTTTTATTTTAGAAAAAGAATTAGGGTTCCGCTCAAAAAATTAAAACGTACCTAGGGACGTATCCGAGCGAAGCAAGGGTGAGTCGCTAGTTTATAATATAATCTTAAATATTAAAAAAATTAAGTAGAAAGGAAAATTTACATTTGCTTTGAATAAAATACTACGAAAAAAACCCAGAAAAAATAGCTTTATTTAAAATGTATATGTAAATTATAAAATTTTATTTATTATAAAATGAACTTTTTTTTTATTTATAGTAACTGTATCAATATAATTTATGAGTAATTTATAATATACTTGGAATGAGTTTTTATTAATTAAACATTACATAATTAAATATAATATTCTCTTATTGTTTACATTAATGCATTGATTGAGATAAACATAAATAATTTACATAGGAAGAGTAAGAGCTCTACATTTGAACTCTTGTGATATGAACAAAAAAAAATGTATTAATATGACTAATTATTATGACTAATTCCATTTAAAATTATTATGAATGAATCTTCATTTATCAAGTATTATTAAATTTGAATGAAATATTTCCTTATTATTCATATTATTGGCGCTATATAATATCATTTGTGGTTTATTACGTAACTAACGCACAAATTGTACATGTAAGTATTGTTGGATAATAACAATAATAATTACTATATAAAATCGTCACAATTCCATGAATCAATAAGCAACTTATGAAAATTCATAAGTAAATGAAATAGAAAATGGATTTTATTAATATTTAATCAGCTCTCAAGATTAGGCTTGACATTTGAAATATATAAAGATTAGATAATAAAGAAATAAATGTAAATGTGACGTCGTTATAAAGAAACTAGGCCGGATGCAGTTTCTGGACCAGAAAGGACATTACACACCTATTATTCTAACACTTAAATAGCATAGTGCTTGTTACGTAAATAACAGACCGTTCCGTCACTACGGTACATGCATCTTAATGTTTGTTTGTTTCATGTATTTGTAACAACAATCAACATAAGTTATTTGTACAGCATTGTTCGTTTACGTTTTAGAAACTAAGAATGTACTAACTATAATTTGTAATAATGAAAAGCCAACGTTCAGATTTTCCCGAAATGGGTGATTTTTTATTGCTTGTGCTCAAATAAATCTTCCAACAAACAGAAATCAGAGAAAAACAACAGAAAAATTATCAACTTCAGATCCTTTCATGTATAGTCCAATTGCGTTGTATTCTCTTAGTGACTTTGATGTTAGAAACTTTTCCGATAACAAATACAATCAGATCTTGAAAGTTAGATTGTTGTCCCATTTCACATTGTTTGGTTATCTAAGTTAAGCAAAGTTAAAATATTACGGAAAAAAGTAGCGAAAAATATTGAATTATATTTATCGTATCATATCGTTTATCTTAGAAGGTGTAGTGTCATATTTTATTTGAAAGTCTTTTATTTATTTGTTTGCTTTTGTTTTTTATGGTAGAAAATAAAAAAGAGATAACTCTAATGTTACAAATTTATTCTTGTTCATCTTGGATAATAAAAGTCATTAATTACACGTATTTTATCAACAAAAAGCTTAAGTCTTATAAGTAAAAATATGTTCATTGTTAGTAAATGCATCACTTGAGAACAGCTGGAGCGATTTGGCTAATTTGTTTTTAAAATGTTCGTAATAGTTCTAATAAGGATGCCAGGACGTCTGTCGGGTCAGATGGTGCTTAAAAAATAATAATAGTATAAGTACAAAACTAGAAAGAAACTTTCACTTTAATATTATGAATCTCTATATTTACGATAAAATGATGAGGAACCTTTTAATTTATATGTAGCGCAGCAACCTTTCTGCTGAATTTTGTCACGATTGCTTACTAACAGTCATGACTCATACTGACCTGCCATTGGATTCTCATAAGAATATAAATGAATTATGACTTATTTAGCGGATCCTTAGTATCATAATTTTTTTTAAATGATATCTATTATCGTTATTTTAGTCTATTTCCATTGACATGTGTATTTTCGATTTTTTTGTTGAAAATAACTCTTTAAAAATATATCAGAATATTGCTTTAATATAAGTAATAGGTATATCTACGTATTTATTAAAAAATGAAAACGAGCTAAGAACATTCACCAATAGAGTTATGACAATATTATAACCATACATTTTTATTATTTAAATTTTACCTGTTTAGTAGTAATATAAATTATCATAAAGTATTTCCACGATATATACAAAAATATTACATTTTCAGCCATCTATATTGTGATTTTAATATCCAAACGTTAATGTAGAGTTGTAGTCATTTTAAAGCTTTCAAACTTTCAAGGTAAATATATAAAACTTTACTAGGTGGCGCTGTCACCGATGAAACGTTACAATAAACTAGATGGCGCTGTGTGTATTCTGATTTAAAGTTTAGAAATCATCATTTTATTTATGCTTGGCTGGAATATTTGCAACGATCAAAAGCTAGTTTAGACTTTAGTTTTACTTATACAGTACTGATAAATATGATCAAGATTATTTTAACACGTATTTATATCCAAATCACTATACTATTTGAATATTTTTCGTTCCTGTATAAGATAAACTAGCTGGTTCGGCTAGTGTCGAGCTAAGTTGATCGCGAGAGCGCGGCAGGACCGCAGCCGCCGGCCGGCAGTGCATACTTGTTCGCCGCGGTGGCAGGTGGTACGACGCCCCCACACAAGTTACCTGCTACTTGCTTTCGCGTATCTCACTCTTTTGTTTATAACACTTGTTGTGCATCCCATTTAGTAACTTTAAAACTATTTTAAGTTTAAAAAACTGATAGTTCTTTAGTAAAATGTTAACCTAAGAGTGTTGTGAAAGTGTACGAAAATATATTAGCTCCACAAGTACAATTTAAATGCAGAATTATCATAAACTATGTTTGCAATACTCATATGGATAGTGTGAGACAGAGCTGCGTTTCAATTCCCAGAGTTGTAAGTATTACTATCTGAGATTTTATTTGTGTGATTATGGATCATTTGGGTGTGCATCAGAGCGTGTTGGTATACAAAGAGGGTTCTGATATGTTTGGAGAAGTGGTTACCAACAGCGGTCGTGGTCAGCCACGACTGGGTTGAACGCCCGCCGCCGTGGCCGGTGTCACCGCTCATCCAATCGCAACCACAATATTACCTCACCTTGACAATAATGATTCTATTAAGCTCGATTTAGCCACAATTGCACGAATTGTACCCTATTTAACTATGATAAAGCAGCAGACCAACGTAGTCTGTACACGATGCTATTATTCCTTGAAGCGACTTTGTTTCTTCCTAGTGATTTATTTAAATATTTTTAAGTCTACTCAGTCTTGGTGGCTGACAACCTTATTCAGGCACCCATTTCGAATAACTAAGTAGCACACTGTCGTCTTATTCAAGTGTCATTCAAATTTCGTGATTCTAATTCTAAAATTTCTACGCATTTTAATTGGTTGCTTTTTTTTCTATTTCATATATATAATAATCCCATAAAAATTAAACGTGTTCACAATTATATCTATATATAGATAACTATCCCAATAAGACAAAGTATAGGTGATTAATTTACCCCTATTATACCTCAACGAGATAAAATAAAAGTTTATTACCTATTTATTCATTTCGTAATTTAAGTATTACAAATAAATCACTGAATAATTATTCAAAGTCAGCGGTAATAAAAAAATAAGACCACATATGAATTATGATACACTTTAGTATATATTATCTTTTTATAGTTCATTATTATATGTTCGATTTCAATTATATAGGTACTAACTTAGTACTTGACTCTACTTCCTTACTCCATGAATTTACTAAATAAATTCTCTATTCAGTAACGACTTTAGTCATTTGGATTTAACGATTTCTATATAATCTAGATTCCAAACGTGCCTTGGAAAATGAGCTATATTACGAGTATGTAGAGACGAGTGCCATTTCTTTCCATTACCCTCTGGTTATTACGATAGACGAAAATTATTATATTTGAGTACAATAATAGGTAAACTGTTTCTATTTAGTACCCGCTAGCTTTGGTACATACGTACATTTAGATATTTTGTATAGAATTTGGTATACGAGTATAATGTGCATCTGTGATGATATAATCGACTTTTTAGTTAGGTCTTCCTTTTTGCGTTTAGTCCAAAAACTAGATATTTTTTGCTACCTCATAGTTTAAATAAATATTCAATCTGGAAGTATTATAATTTTATGTACTTAATTTTATTTTATATTTTTTTATTATAATGTTAAAAAATATTGACTTAATAAAAACGTAATCGTAATAAAAACCTCCTAATGCAAATATAATGTAAAAAACTTGACTTTGAAAATAATTTGTAAATACTACTAATTCTTTTTTCTATTATTTCTGTACTTTATCCTTCTTCTATATCTGACTGATGTACCGCACCTACTTGTGAATTATAATAATTAAAATTCATACAACAGAAAATATAAAAATCTGCAACCAACACTCATTATTTTGTAATGTTTAATCCACCTGCAATATTATATTTATTCATATATTTCATAGAAATATAATATTTTTATTCCGGTGAGCAGATAGGCGAAGTCTTTATATTAAAGGTTAGATGTTAGACAGCTATTAGCGATTACGTTATACATATTTTGCCTTTTCACTCTTACCCACTTTTAATTTGGAAAAAAACCATAATTGAATTTAAAACTCTTAACTAAATATATTTAGTAGAAATAAGTTCAATTAAATTGAAGAGCTTTGTTTAAAAATTACGTTCAAACAGTCCATAAACCACTGCGCAGAATTAACAAAAAGCTTCATGTAACTGTACATTGTACAATGAAGTCGTAATCTTGAATTTTTATTTGCACACCCAAAAAAGAAGTGGGTTTTATTTACAAAACGTACATTAATTAAGCAATTAAAAGTAAAGAATACATACTTTATTGTAAAAAACTCCAGAAGTTATAAAAATCCTCATTAAAATCGAGTATTTATTAATTATGAATCCGCGCTCGGCGACTCGGTTGGGGTCAAGCCTCCTTACCCACGTCGAGGACAAGGAATTTGCGGTTCTCTTAGCTGACCTTCCACTTGAAATGTTTCTTGACTCTTTCATCCTTTGCTCATTATTGAGGTTTGAGAGGTTTTCCTGATTTGCATCGAGTGTTCATACTAAGTTTATAAGCGAATATTTTATTTTGTTCCACTTTATCGTTATTTATAATAAGTAAACTATGAACACTAAATATAAGAACTAAATAATATAAATCATTTGAATCATGAATGTAAATATATTAAAAATACTATAATATATTTTATTCTATGTATCTAAATGTCTCATTTTTGTTTACTGTATTTACTATATTATAAATATTATATTAAATAAAGAAAAATAAAATATAAAAAATGTGTCTAGTACCTACTATGTCTCTTCTAACAAAAAAATAATTTTGAGAATACCATCCAATTTATTCCAATATTTTATTATACCCAAAATTTTGAGTAAGTAATATACCTACATTTAAAATATACAGATTTGAGGAATTTGAGAATTAAGTACCACCTCCTTTTACATTAAACTATTTATATATCGCCTAGAGTCTCTCCCGTAACCATGATTGTAAAACAACACTGTAGAGCATTTGAAACTTCAGGAACCAAAAATCAAAACAAACTGCCAAAAAAAAAACCGAAAAGTTCTTTTTATTTAAAACGTCAAATTTTAAAACGTCAAAAATTCGCGTACATCTAAAAAGTATAACCTCCTGCTTTTAGAAATCGGTTACAAATAGCTATACAATTAATCCCTCCACGACCGCGGACACGCCGGCGTTACAGTTAACAATAGATTTCTTAGAATTTTAATTAGTTTCTTAGAAATTTGCCCGGAGGTGCTAAGTACATTTAGATTTACAGACAAAGCCATGTAAAATGTCTAGTGTAGTAAATAAATGATATTCAATATGAACGTGAATATTCGCGGAGCAGTGTGCGGGCGCGGTGCGGACGCCGCCGCGGAGAATGAAGCCTTTGTTGCACAATGCCCATTTCCGATTACCAGATTAAATCGTCGCCGTCAAAGCGCTTCGGTTCCAATAAACGCGAGAACAGAATAGAATATTTTGTACAATCATAGGTATATCAAAAAGGGACTTAAATAAATTATTGTTAAGATTTTTTTACAAAGAACATTTCAAGTCGTCATAAACATTTGCGACCAAAAATTTCTAATAGTAATCGAACTAATATTTTTTGTCTCGCCTTACGCTATGTCACTTAAGGCTTTATGAATTTTCAAAGTTTAGTTATTATTTAATTTACCCTCTCGTAATACGGGTGGGCGCTTCATTCACAGTCTGTGAAACGACACCCGCTGCTTCTGTTCATCGTTGCGAAAGTTTAGACGAATTTGCGACGATCGCGTTTCATTAAGAGGTATTTTGGTATAAAAGGAACTGCTTCCATTTCACAAAGCGAGTGCGGTGTGAGTATATAGTAAGAGATACATTTTGGAGAGCCTTTCCGTTAGTTACTCATTCAGAGGTGAAGTAGGTACTATCCGGGCTTCAATATATGAGATTCGTGATTTTTTGATGATTTTCGGTCATATTATAGTATTTTCACTTGTATTTTTAGGTACATTAAAGTGTTTTAGGTCAATTTTTCCTTTCCTGTAAGTATTGTTGATAAATCTCGAATTAAGTTGTTTGATGAGTATTTTGCCTTATTAATTATATTTATTATTTTTGGAGTACTGATTCTGAGTATTTCTTGTAATCCACACCAATATTATAAATGTGAAGGTTTGTCAGGATGTATGGATGCTTGTTACTCTTTCACGCCAGAAAGGCTAAGCGGATCTGCATGAAATTGGGCACAGATATAGCACAGAGGCTATTTTTATCCCGGTAAAATTTACGGTTCCCGTGGGATAGATTTGTTTTTGTCTAGGAATGATCCTGAAACGAAGCGAGGGTGAGCTCTATATATCATAATATCAAAAATATTATATACTAGGTTTTATATGATCCACAATGACAAAGCGTGACATCCGTGCAAGGAGCACATGGATAGGAATGTCCAGTTTGACCTCCTTTAATTAAATATCAACTGTTGAATATATCGATAGATTTTCTATTTAACAAATTTTGAACAATTGAAATCCTAACAAAAAGAAAATATTTGTTCGCGAGCGTATCTTATTAAAACTGTATTACAGCTTATTATTTAACCTAAAATAATTATAACGCTCTAGTGATTATCTTAAGGAAAAGCAAGTTTGCGAAACTCTGATTGCGATGTATCTACCTACTTACAAGTCATAATTTTGAACAAATTAATTAATTATCACATAATTTAAACCACGCTAATTCTGTTTCTATTCAGGATTACATGCTTTATATCCTTAAATCAATTACACTCTCCCTGTGTAATGCGAGCACCCATTCATAGTTAATAGAAACAATTAATCTTGTATACGGGATTTCAGCGGGCGCTTTGGATCTCACGCTCATGCATCGTTCATATCCTAATGTGCTGTCGGCAAAACGGAGTTATTAAAATTCCATTTAAAGGCACCCGACGCTCGACACGATTTAAGCTGAGAATCCTTATTTAATAACTGCAACTTTTTAATTAAGGCCCGTTTTAATACTTTACAAAAAGTGAAGCACCGCATACTTCCTTGGTCATACGTTCTCAATGTATTTTAAATGGTACGACGACCACTTCCCTTAAAATATTAAATTGCTGATAATAAATTATACATACTAAGTTTTTATTCTGAGATACTGTTTACCATGATAGCATTTACTCGTTTTATTCTTATTACGGGCTACTATTTACACATATAGGTCGTAATTATTAATTTTAACCTTTAAAAACAGACAAATATAATATAGAGCAAACAAGCTATGACGCTTTTTGCTTGATGTAATTATAAGTAACAAGTATTATATTAAAT